TCTTCTTGTTTTTGAATTCATGAAATACCTGAAAACTTCATGGAGTTCATCCTGAAACTGAGTTTCTGTTTCTTGTGATGGGTTTGACTAGGTTGCAGCATTTCATAAGCTTTTGTTTTTCATCCAAACACTTGATTGGCATCCATGCACATGCGACCTCTTTTTAATGTTTTGGCAGGAGGGTGTTTATTTCCAATGGTGTCTGTACGCTTTACCCGTAAAGGCAAGCAGCCGATTTTTTTTTTGAGATTAGGTAAAATGGCTATGGAAATGTCAATATTCATGACTGAGGACAAAGACAGTCATGAAAATCTCTGACTTTATACCTTATCCGAGTGAGATATTGAGGCAGTGATCAAACTGGAAATGTCGCAGAATCATGCAACTTGTGATGGACATATGAGTAGTGATACATTGGTGTTGACACTGTGTATTGGGCATTATACGGATGTTGCAAAGAACTATTTGGGTTGTGATTGTTGTTCCTATTACTGTAGCAGTTTGGAACTGGCCAGTCAAACCCGGTAAACAAAAGGGCCTTTGACAGGATCCAAAAGATTTCAGGAACCTCTTTCACACTGGCAAGAATCCAGCACGGCTTCTACACGGGTCCGGCGCTCTACACGGGAAAAGTCCAAGCCTGGTGGACCGGGGTTGAGGGGTTCTACCCGGGTAGAAAATCCTAAATCTACTGTCGACCTGTGTGCAAAGTGGTAAAAGTCTCATTGCAACCTCGGTCCCACTGTGTCGAGCAGTACACACCCAATATATTTACCTTTACCTTTGTTCAAAGTGTGTTGCTGGATTCAACATTGGTTGTGAATTATCTGCTCTAGCATGTCTAGAGTCACACTAGATGTAGGGGGCCGTTCACAATTATCAACATTTTCACGAGCGTACAAACCGTACGCTGGGGGGGAGGGGGTTAATGGCAGCCGTACGCTTTTTTTTTTTTTTTAAATGTCGATATCTTTTCTCGCCCGTTTATGCCCGCCTAACGCGTTTTTTTTTTTTTTAATGTCGATCTGTTTTCTCGCCCGTCGCCACAGCCGACAGCCGCAACCGATGCCGATCGAGCACTTGCCGAGCCGGTCGCGCCCCGCGCCAGGCCCCGCATTGCATCCCATGAACGTATTGTGTACAGAATGCGCGGCATTGTCCTACACACGTACATGAAAATGTACTGTATGTACACGTACATGTACATGTAGATGTATAGTCCGTATCCACTGCGTGTTTTTAAAGGCCGGTGTCACATGTCATGGCCAAAAACTTGATCTACAAAAGTTACAAAAACCCTTTAAATCACATGCAAGTGTCTATATATAGACTTGTGTGAAAAAAAAATCAACATTTTTTTTGTACACTTTTAGGGGGAGGGGGGGGGGGGTCTTGAAAAAGTGTACTCTTTGTACACTTGTGAAAATGTTGATAATTGTGAACGGCCCCTAGGTGAAGAGGGCATTTCATGTCAAACGACATGTACAGCCTTTGTCATATTTGTAGCCTGCAAACATTAGAGTTGTCTGTGGTGACATCATTCTGTTGGGAATATAGCACAGGTTCCTATTACTTTTTGTCACAGGCACTTGCATTACCCACAGGATGTTAGGCTCTCTTCCACATCAAATTTTGTAGTAAATGTCCTTGGGGGGGGGGGGGGGGGGGTTGAGTTTGCGGGTTAATAAGAAGCTGAAAGGCCCCAGCGTAAGGAATTTTGTCAAAAGAGTAAAAACAAATCATTGACAATTTCTTTGAGTGGATTGCTTTTGTGAACATTTCTCTACAGAATTCTAGTTTTGATTATCATCTCAAATGCCCTTACGGGGTTGAAAAGAAAAGGTGTAGTGACTTTTGCAATTTACAATAATGTTATCAGTCAAACAGGGAATTACTCGAAGACGAATAAAGGGAAAGGGTAAAAGAGTGTGAGAAAATTGAGAAACTCGTCAGGTTGGATCGAAACTGTTGAATATTGACCGCCTCATGAGGATTTGGAGGACAAACTGCTGAACAGTACACATGGGAAAATCAAGCAATTGGACAATTTTTGTTTCCCCTTGGGCAGAGTTTGCGATGATGTTGGATCAGAAATGCCAAGAAATTGTGTCTGAATTGGTGTACTGTCTGTTACTCTTAACACCTGTGGGCTATGAGTTATTTCATTCGGACTGCCTCTTAGCAATGTCCGCAGGCTTGTAGTCGCTTCCCTAACAATAAGGTACTAGGTACTTGGTTCTTCTCCTAAGGACTTCCACAAGGGAGTATATTTAGGAGGCCAGAAACAACGGGGCAAACCCCTTAGCGATAAGTGTTACTGTGTTCTTTTACGTGCGTTAGGCCTTATACAACACACGGGACCTCTGGTTTAACGTCCCATCCGAAGGACGAAGCAATAATAGTTAAGTGCCTTGCTTAAGGGCACAAGTGTTGTGGCCCGGGCTCGAACCCACGCCACTGTTACCTCTGAAACACCAGAGCATGAGTCCGGTGCTCTAAACCACTAGGCCATGACACTACACATGGCAGCTGCAACTGTGTGCCACGCCGGTTAAAAGTTGCATGCGAGGCACACCTGTTAAGATTTGCGTGCGGCGATCAATGTGTCATTGTGGACAGCTGGAGTATTGTACGGTTTTACATTTTTGAACAGTCAAATGATCATCAGAGAAACTAACCACTGTATGTGCCAGCCTGGTTATCCTACTCCCTGTAGGCACATACATGTAGCATAGAAGGAGGCACTATCAGCAGTACACTTCCACACATTCTCACCCTTTTGCAACTGTTACGTGTACTAGTTTCTCATCAGATTTTGCTGCCTGTTGAAGCTCTTGTGTCCAGTCCGCATTGCTAATAGTAATAGCAGGGGAGGATCTAGGTTTGGTTCAAGAGGGAGGTTTAGCTGTCAAGAGGGAGGGGGGTGGTTTAAAGCTAGAGTCCATCATTTGCAGCTAACCGAAAAGTAACTGGCGTCATTATTTGTAGAAAAACATTCTTGGTTGAAAGATAGTAAGGGGACTAAACTCCCTGTGAAATTATTCTTTCTGGCAAGCTGTCATTTTGAAGAAATCAACAAAAAAAGGCCTTTCCAACGGTGCTTCTTAAGACGCACCGTAGGAAATTCAAATTAGTAGTTTGTTTTGTTATTCGGCAAAGTGCGCGCCAGCATTTGCACGACGCACACGCGCGGTTGCTATGATTCGTCGGATCAGTGCGTGACATCGCGTAGCTGCAATCGGCTCAGTGAGAACGTGTATCGGACGCTGAATTCAGGCCCAATTCAAAACATGATTCAGCAACTTTGATTTGAAATCGAGAGCCTAGAATGCTGTTTTTCTCGGAATATACAGCTGAAGCTGAGCTAAAGCTTCGTCTGGTTAGTTGTTCAGTACCCTTCTTTAGAATTTGAGCACTTTTGTTGCTTCAAACGAACAAAATGCACAAATTACAAATGATGGACTATACCTTTAACAGCCATCTGGTATTGTTTTCCTGTTATATTCCTTTTTGGTGGCCCAAGAGATGGGTTTTAAAGCCCTTTAAACCCTTTTCGTAGATCCGCCACTAAATAGTGAATGTCACGTCAGACTTGAAGATTTGCCTTGCAAACTGAGTAACGGGTTCTCACTTTGTGGGAATGTGAATTTGAAGTGTACTTGATGTCAAGAAATGACTCGTGACGAAATTGGCCATGCCTGTAATGTGTTCAACTCTGGCTTTTTCAGTCAAATTCACAAACAAGTAACACAATCCCACCACTTGGCACAACTCGTGGATCACTGTGTTCATTGCGAAATGGAGAGCCGTGTCTGTTTTCCCTTGCTTTGGTGTAATGTTTCTGGAGTGTGCACTCGAGCTGGAATGAAATGTGAGATTTTTACTGAGTACATTAAGTGTTCCTAACATTGTGGGCGGCATGCAACAACTTGTTGTCGTCAAAGTTCAAAGCCATTTGCCTGAACAGCTGAAGAGGGCTAGAATAATGAATCCTATACTTGTTTTGATGAAATGGATGAATATTATTCCAGTGCCGGTGAAACTGAAGCTCCTGCGAAACTGAAGCTCCTGCATTCTGTTTTAACCTTTAGCAACGTAATCATTAAACTGGGACTTTAATATTAATTTATATTTTCTACTGCACCTGAAGTGAGGATAACAACGACCTTTTTAAAACAAAATTCTGAGTAGAAGTGTTTTGTTGCATCAGTAATGTGTTTTGTTGCATCAGAAAAAGCCAGTCCGGTATCTTGATGAAGTAGTCCAGGTCAAAGATAAAATCGCTGACGCAATGTAAATGACACCATGGTACGCGATATGCCCATTCTCGTAATTAATGCGCGAGCATTTTGCGACCGTTTCCTTGGGCATTCAGGCGCCGATGAACATTTGATTATCCAGAATGACCTGTGACCCATGTCATTATGCGCATGATTATTTTACAATTCTGTTAGAAACACCTTGTTTTTGGACCAACGTGAATCAGTGGTGCACCCAAGGGGAGGGGGGAGGGCATGTTTATTCCCACGATTAGACCGTGTTCATATGTATGTAGCCTATTTTCGAGTGGTATAACGGGTGTAAGTGGCGCCACCAACGTCAAAATAGTCCGCCCCCCAACAAAACCCCAAATTTTCTGCTTTTTGGAAAACATTCAAACTTCTAAAAAAAAAAAAATGAAAAAAATTGTGAGCCCCCCTCCAGCCAAATCCTGTGTGCGCCACTGACGCGAATGACAAGTACCTCTGTGTGCATAATTAATAATTTGTGTCTATTGATGCTATATCTTTTCTGTGAAATAGTAACCTTTGATCTCATATATTGTATAAGTCAGAATGAACTATCTGTGATGCAAGGATCATTTCCCTCCTATCTGTGTTGAAGAACATGTTTCTTTTAAACAAGTGATTTATGGTATCCCTTAGGAAAAAGGTTTTTCCTCCTTTTTGGACCCACGAAGCACCTTTCAATTTCATGTTTTCTTTTTGTTTTCTTGTCAGATCCTACACAAGAAGATTTACGATGAAGTGCTGGAGAAGTTGAAGAAAGCCTACAGCCAAGTCAGGATTGGGGATCCCTTGGATGGTATGTTTTGGTTGTGAAGTATTGCTGCACTCTCATTATAACGGATCAGTTGATTTAGTAGTTTTCTACTATACACTTCTGCCATTTAAAATTGAAAAACAATGAACGGAAAGCTTGTAAAGCTTGGAATGTCCTTGTGTTTTGTGACTTCTCAGTTGCAGCCCTGTTGTAAAACAGAGACGTTGGAAAACATTTTTTGCTGTTTAGAAAGATTTTTATTGGAGACAAAACAGGCTGAAAATCATTATATAAGAAGGCACTTTTGTATTGTCAGTGGATCGAGCTGCTCATTATTTGAATCTGTCGGATGTTTCGCTTCCCCCCCCAGAGAATATCCTGTATGGTCCCATGCACTCCCAGCAAGGTGTGGACATCTACAAGAATGCCATCCAGAATGCGGTGGCCCAGGGAGGCAAAATTGAGGCCGGAGGAAAGGTGAGGAAAGAGTTGAGGAGTTCTCGTCGTCATCTAGAGCGTCCTGTCTTAGTCAAAGATCCCAGTGACTTTCTTTGTCTTCTGTCATGAATATTGACATATGACTTACGTGTTTTTGTACATGGGCATAAATCCTGGGGGGGGGGGGAGTGGGTATATCCCCCCACTTTTTGACCAGGGGGTGGGCCATTGAATCATCCACCAGATTGTTGTGGAGAGAAACAAAATAATGCAGATTATGAGGTTTTCTTTTAACTTGCCCACAGTCAAAATGTACTAAATAGTTATGAAAAACGGAGAACAAACAGCACTCAAGCTTTAAATGCACCGTTTTGAGGTATGGTTAAGGGACGTTGGTGCGCGTTTCATGAGATGTAAATTTATGAACGGGACCCCCTAGCGTCATGTGGTGTCCCAACTCCCTGCCCCCAAGCTTTTTGAATTTCCACGACCGGGAATTTTATGTCATCCCCTATCCCCCACTCGCCGACACGGATTTACGCCACTGGTTGTGTAGGATCAGACTAGGATTGATGCCCAGGATCCCAATACTCTGCGGGTTTCGCTGGTTCATTTTGTTGAGTTTTCTATTGCCTGACAATTACGACAACAGGTACCCAGGTCCAAAAATTATCCTGTAATGCACATCCTGATTGTTGCAGGATACCCAGGTAAAAAAAAGACATCTGAACATATTCCATCTTTGATACTTTTGCCAGATATTGGATGGACCAGGGCACTACGTTGAGCCGACAATCATCTCGGGCTTATCCCATGATTCTCCAGTGGTTCAGTCAGAAGCCTTCGCTCCTGTGCTGTACGTCCTGAAGACCAGTGTGAGTATTCCACTCTCCATACACTTTGTCAAATCATTAAAGGGAATATACAACATTTGCAAACATCGAAACACAAAACTACCAATTTTTTATGAAATACCTTACTAGGATGTTGGTAAATGACAGTCTAAAGCATCCTGCAAAATTATGGCACCATGTGTGAAGTCATTTTCAAGAAAAGTGGTATTTGTATAAATTTCCAACGATGGTCAGCTGACCACCGTTGGAAAAACCTAACTATTTTTCAACTACTACTCCAAATTTACCAATTTTTTTTCAGTCCAAATTTTGTTTGCTATTGGTTACGTGTTCATGAACGGATGCAGGCCAGTTAGACTGGTTCCATTATCTTACAATTTTCCGGCATCTACATGTATAAATGATCCATTTTATCTAAAGTGGAGTCAGGGAACCAGACTACTTGAATTTTTTGTTTTTCTTGGTTTTTCCAGTATTTTTGAACACAAAACTTCAAACATGTCAGTGTAACAATATTTGATCTGTTTTACTAACCCCTCAAAATAGTTCATTTCTGAAAATTACAGCAAAAGCCAATGATGTACATTCCCTTTAACCCTAACTCCCGGAGCACATGCCTTCAGAATTCTTCATTCGAAAACCCCACAAATATGTTTCAAAAGCAAAGAAGTTTCAGTATGATTATTCAATTCTCTATACATTTTGATAAATCATCAACCCTTCCTATCTTAGCACAAACCCAAAATTCCTCAGCCAAAACCCTACAAAAATTACAAGGGGAAGTAGTGCGAACACACAGACAGACATACTTGGTGAAAATAAAGATAAAAGATGTAAAAGGTGAGTAAATGCTACCATTTTCAACATCATCATGTGCAACAATTCGCTCTTCTCACACTTCCGCCGTGGGCATGCAGAGCCTCGATCTGGCAACTTTACACAATAAATATAGCCGGTTCAGTGATTCCTGTGTCGGGGTTCAGATCACTGAACCGGCTATTTTCATAGTGTAAAGTTGCCAGATCGAGGCTCTGCATGCCCAATGGGAGAGTGTGAAAAGAGGGAATTGCCACAGAAAATAAATCAGCCCTCTGATTAACCATATCTGCAAACCAACAGGTTAATCCATTGACCAAATCAATTTGCAGGTCTAGCATTATTCATTAACAGTTTGCCAGGCTACTCCCCCAGGTCCTAACAAAATCACAGAGTGATCTTGTATGTTTCCTTCCCATGGGACTACACCCCCAAGTCCTTGTTTTGTTGCCCACTTCATGTGATTGAATTCTATTCAGTCTCCTGTCTGGTTTACTAATGTGACGCCGGAAAGCTGCTGGCTTTTCATTGAGAATTCCCCAAGGGCGTGGTTCTCCTCATGTTCCTACCAGACACTCTACAATTTCCGGGCTTTAAAGCAGGAATTTTTAAAGCAGGTATAAACAGGTAGTTTTTAAGACAGGAGTGAAAAAAAAAATCGCAAATTTTTAAAGAGCCCTGTCAGATAGCACAAGGTGAAGTTTGTAACGATTAGAACTAGGAGGTCTGACTGACGTTTGCTTTTAGACATGAATGCTGTGGTCCAGTGGTTATGGTGTGTGACTCATGTACGATGGTTGGAACCCTGCCAGGATAACGGTGTTTGTGCCCTTGGGCAAGACACTTAACTACAATTCAGGCGATTCACGATGCAGTGCGCCACCAAGAGTTTGCCACAGAGAGTTCATTTTTTTCCAGTGCAAGGTGGGAGGTGGTTGACAAATTCGCAGTGCGGGACATTTGAAATTGTTAGTTTTTCCGGTCAGTAGTTTCGTTAGCGTATGATTCGAGTATCTGTTTGCCCTTTTCTTTTCTTTTTATCAGTATGGTGTTTTTTTGTAAGGCGGCAGAACGCTATGCCCCAATCTATAACACATTAGCTCAAGTTGTCAACTGAAACTCATTCAGACGGGCCATGTTTTGTCAACTGTTAACTTGAAAAATTGACTCACCATGGCAAACTCTTGGTGGCGCACTGCATTGTGAATCGCCGGAATTGTCTATCCAGGGGGTATGAATGAGGGCAGAGTTGGTAATGCTGTTAGAGGTTGATTACAGCCAAGAGCGCCAAAATGGGTGCCTACCGGCCCCGTATGCTCCCCAGGGAGTTGAGACAGTTTCAGGAGTGTTGAACAGGGGTAATAATAATTGTAAAGGGCTTTGATACCCCATTTAAAAGCGCTATATAAATGCCTGTTAATATTATTATTAATGGGTACCTGTGAGGGTAGAGGGCCGAAAGTGCACTGATATCAGCTGCCATGCCCAGTCTCGTGGCCTGATGAACGGTGGAATAATTGTGAAACACTGAGATTGTTAACACGATGGAAAGCGCTGTATAAGCATTACAATTTATATATTTTCTATGTAATACCAATTTCCGTCCGTCTGTCCGGACGTCGGTCCGGCGTCCGTCCGTCCGGCCGTCCGCGTTCAGATAAAAATGTTGAAGTTTTTGGTTCTAGCTAACTTGGGGGAAAAAATGCAGTTTACATGTACCGGTATCATCTCTGTAACTTACAATTAGGTTCATTTCTTTGCAGTTGATTTTATGATTTTATTGAGGAATTTTGATTAAAGAAAATGTTAAAGTTTGTAATTGTTAAAGTATGTATACTGGCATAACATGTACATGTACATGTATATATACCTGTATAACATGTGCACTATGCATTTTGGAGGAGCATTCATACATGAATGTGAAAGTGCTTCTGGTTTGATCTTTTAGTTTTATGGAGTTGGAGTAGGGATGGGTAGGGATAGGTAGGGGAGGGTGGGGTCGGGGTGGGGCATAGGGGTTTGGATTGGGATGGGTTACGGGAGGATGGGGTGGAGGATAAGGGGTTGGAATACTGGGTTTGGGTGGAGTAAGGATGTGTAGGGGTGGGTGGGGACAGGTAGGGGGAGACAGGTAGCAGGAGGATGGGATAGGTGGGTGTAGGGTTTGGGTTAGGAGGGGGTGGGGGAGGGGTGGCATATAGGGATTGGAGTAGGGGTTGGGGTTGGTGGGGATGTGTAGGGGACGGTGGGTGTAGGGGTTGGGAGGGTGGGGGAGGGGGTGGGGCTGGGATATGGGGATTGGAGTAGGGGTTGGGGTGGGGATATATGGGTGGGTGAAAATGGGGTTGGTGGTGGTAGGGGGTTGGGGTAAGGGAAGCTGGGGAAGGGGAAGACGATAAGGATTGGAGTTAGGGTGGGATTGAGATTTGTAGGTAATGGGTGGGGATGGGTATGGGGAAAATGGAGTGTGGATAGGGGGTTATGGTGGGTTGGGGGAGGGGCGGGGCGGGGCGGGGATGGGGTAACGTTTGGGGCATGTGGTGATGATGCTGTGTCTACATGTACATGTATACGCATTCATGTTCCGCATTTGTGGATACTACACAAGAGTTCTTCCATGGTAATACATGTATGGGGACAGAAGATGCTGTGGGGCTGCAAAACGGCTCCACAACTGGGTCCTTAATACCCTAACAATGGAAAACTTCCATGTAAAAATGTGAACATGTACATGTATTTATTAGGACATTTGTTGACTATTTATGTTTGCATTTAAAAACTGACCCCTACACCTTGGCACATCAACGAGAATCCTGATCCCCATCATGCCCATCCCCAACCCTACCTTCAGCCTCCCTTCCTGCCTTCGACAGCGAGCCATGGCGGCTTGGCCGTTCTAGTTTTGGATTAGAATGGAATTGAAACTGCAACCTCTAGAACACAGTGCCAATGCTCAGCCAGCTGAGATACTCATCGGCACTACATGTACATTTACATGCATGTGACCTCCCAGTAGTCAATGTTCAGGGGCACCAGTCAAACAGATAGAAATTGCCACTATGGATCGAGAGCTGGATAGTGTGGCCACAACATCCAATAAGTTTGAGCTCCGGAGACCAAATTATAACTTTGGACATATGGAATTACCTGTGTTTTCTGGCTGTTTTTATTTTTGTGTTGGATTTTGTATTGGACTGACTGCCAGTGGGTATACAGTGTTCTCCAACTTTGAAAATTAAAGGTTGGCGCTGGGGTCGGCGGGGACTCCTGCGAGCGCGGAGCGCAAAGCCCTTACGGCGTGGGGTCCGGGGCCCGCTTAAGGGCCCTGGAAAAATTTGGATTCTAGATGCTCTGTGGTGCAATCTGAGGCGATTCCAGGCCAGTTTCCCCGATTTTTTTAGCATTCAAAAATTACCTTTTCAACCTAAAGCAGACTTCTCTCAGATCAAATGACACCTTTTTGTAATTTTGAAGAAAAAAAAAGGATACAAGTTACTGTTTTTGTACGCGATTTTATGGGTGGTGCCGGTGCCGTGCGATCGTCATCTTTATTTTCATGTTGCGTTTTGTCGTTGTCATCGTCATTCCCCCCCCCCCCCAAATTTCCCTCTATTTATGACCTACCTGTATGTTCTTAATGTCGCCAACTAGTTTGGTAAGTCAAATAAATTAAAAGTGGATTTTGTTCTCTTAGGGAACCGGGCCCATACACGATCACCATTTATAACTTTTGACATGATCGGCATGATCGGAACACCATGTGCACGCGTGTTTTGCCCTCCAGCTTATTTGCCGCGTACAAGAACATCAATGCGTATTATATTGTGTACCGCACGAGAAAGCACTGAGAAAAAGAAAGTCGGTTGGCTGCACGTAAGATCTGCCGTACGTACTCCTGCTGGTGTGTGTGTGTACTAATACAGATATATATTTTTGCAGCGGGGTTGTCGCTACTTGAAGTATCGGCACACTCCGGAACTGGGGATTCAGTTGTCAGTGTGTGTACATCGTACCTAATAGTACGTACAGTGCATGGGGAATCGCTGGTGTTTGGCCACGGCCAGCCATGCGTGTGATTGATTCAGCGAGATTTTAAGACAACCCCGATCCCGATCGGGCTGGGATGACATCAAAATACATTGTCAATGTGTAGAAAAACAACTGAAATCAAGGATTGTAGTGGTTTTAATAGGCTGATGGATGTT